TTTTTTTTTTTTTTTTTATTTTTTATCATGAGAAATCGTGCATGGAAAATCAACACGTGTTCATACCATTTGCATTTGATACGTTTGGTTTCCTCGCACCGGATGCGGTAGAGCTTCTTAAAAGAGTACAACGAATCATGCATAGTAATGTTATATCCCCTAGATCTTCGGATGTAGTCTTTAAAAGAATTAGCTTTACCATTCAAAAAGGCTTAGCGGCACAGCTTGTTGTCCGTTTGCCATCTCACTCATTGTACGATGACCATTAAAATATTGGTGGAATGGAATTATAATGCTTGTCAAACAAAAAATTCTTAGATAATATAATATCAAGAACACATGCTTTTATGTAATACTCTTATTCTCATAGAATGACCAATGACATTCTTTAAGAACACATGTTTGGTTTGTATGTAATACACATGTATTGCTCTCTTAGAATGTATTTTTTTTTTTTCAAAAATGATATATTATTCTTTAGGAATTTCACAAATCTAATTGTACTTAATTCTTATTCTTCAAGAATGTATTTTTTTTTATAAACATAACTATTATTCTTAAAGATTGTCATATTGAACACGTAATGCATGACTCTTTCTTCGAGAATGAGAATGACTAAAATGGAAATTGAGTTGTATAAAACGTTTGTAGTGTTATAGAGACAGAACATTTCAATTCCTAAAGACAGTTGTATATAAAATGAAACATGTTAAACAATTTCTTAATCATAAATTCTAAAAAAAATATTTGATTTGTTGTTAAGTTAGTTGATTCTTTACCCTAAATTCTAAAAGAATATTTGATTCGTTGGCATGTTCAACTTATTTTTATCGTTATTTCTTAAAATCAAGTTAAAGTGGAAGATAGAACATTATATTCTTCAAGAATTTGTTATTAATATTTCTTTAAAATATGTCAAATTAGTTTTCCTAGAACGTTTGATTCCCATTGTCATATAATATTATGATTTGTATTAATTTTTATTTAATTTCATTTGATTTTTAATTACTTTAACTTAGTTGCCTAAAATGTAGCTAATATTTAATTTTCTCTTAATAAAATGTCAAAATTTCCCTACAATTAATTAAGCGAAATTATCTAGTAAATGACATCTCATATTAATACAATGCGCCCTAAAATCACATCCATTCATTTTTTCTAATCTAATGGACAAAATTTGGTCATACATTCATACAATATTTGTGATTCACATTTGATCCAAACT